AATACTAAATACTATTTACAGACATAAATTTAAGAGGACGCCACAACCTTAGCATTTGTCTTCTTTTCTTATACAGCTGGTAACACACAACAGGCACATATTAATATATATAATATTTCATATATGTATATATATCATATAAATAGAGCAATGCAGTTTTATTATAGTAAATATTACTGTACATTTACATATTATTATTTAATTTATAGATGAGAATATTATCTCTGTCTCGGTATGCAATTTTATACTTTACCTATATATATTTAAATTTTAAAACGAGCTACAACACAATATAGCTAGTCGTTAAATGCAATTTTTCATTAAAAAAAAATTCATTTTTGAATCGTTTTAAATATAAAATATTTAAATTTAACGCCAGAGACTTGCAGACCACGAGATTAGGTGAGCATTTACCATGGTACATAGGTAGATGCACTATAAACAATTAATAGGTTTATGATTAAAATTTACAATAATGTTGGCCATTGAGGTGGTAAAGCCCTGAGGCCGGCTGTCAACAGTACGTTCAATGCGCGTGTAACTGGCTACATAAATATAATTTAATTTAAAAAAGAAAATTAAAGTAGGTATACATACATTTTTTTATTATAAATTATTTTTGTTTACTATCTATATTAAGTTATACAACAAGTAGAAAAACAAAGAAGAAAAAAAATGTCACGAGGTTATTATGATCAGAAAACATATCCATTGATGGTACTTTACAAATATGTATTAATATATTATACATAAGTAATAGTAATAATAATAATATTACAAGAAATTATTTTGACATTTGAGTTCAAATATTGTTTGCTTGTTTTTTTTTTTGTTGACACAATTGAGTATGAACAAAAGCTATGCTAAAAGGCTTCTGAATAATTTTTCAGACGCTTTGTATCGGCTATATCTTAACAGGATAAAGTTGATACTTCTTCTTCTTCTTAGGCGTTTACAGGCCATTCAGGCCCATTGCCGCAACAACCACTTGCCTCCACCTGTCTCGGTCTCATGCCAGCTCTTCCCCATCCTCTATTCCAAGTTCCCTCAAATCCTTGACCACTCTATCCTTCCATCTTTGTCTAGGACGTCCTCTAGGCCTTTTTGTATTTGGCTTCCATTTCGTAACCTGTCCAATTGGCCCCTCCGATCTCCACACGTGACCGGCCCAGCTCAGCCTACTACTTTTTAAAATTCCGTTAATATTCGGTTCTCCGTACAGGTCTTGGATCTCCTGATTTGTTCTTATTTTGTATTCTCCTTCGTTATTTTTTTTCGGACCATAGATTCTCCTTAATATCTTCCGCTCGAAGGTGGCCAATTTTTGTTCATCCGATTTTGTAGTGGCCCACGTCCCACATGCATACAAAGCTATAGGTCTTACTAGTACTTTATAAAGGGTTATTTTTGTCTTCCATGATAATATCTTTGATTTAAATAGAGGGACCAATCCAAAATAACATCTGTTTGCCGCTGCTAATCTAATTTTTATTTCCTCGTGGCTATTTGCATCCTTGTTGATGTCCACTCCTAGGTATTTAAAATCATCTACTTTTTCGAACTTATATTCCCCAATATCCAGGTGTCCCCCTCTATGGTTATTCCTAGTTACGACCATATATTTTGTCTTATCCTCATTTATAATTAAACCTATTTTCTTTCCGTTTTCCAGCAGATTTCGTGTTGTCACCTTTAGATTTTCTTCATTTTCTGCCATTATAACTAAATCATCAGCATAGGCAGCTAGAATTAGTTGTTTGTCAAATCCAATTTTAATTCCACTTGCAGTTACTAGGGTATCTCTTACGACTGATTCCAATGCTAAATTGAAAAGAGCTGGGGACAAGGCATCACCTTGTCTAAACCCTGTCACCACCTCAAAATCCTCCGATACGGCATCTCCGAACTTCACTTTACACTTTGATCCTTGTACACAAGCACGGACTAGTCTTACAAACTTTTCAGGTATACCCAATTGGCACATAGCGCTCCATAGTTTCTCTCTATTCACCATATCATATGCGGCCTTAAAATCAATAAAAAGGAGGTGTATATCTTTGTCAAATTTATGGCTTTTTTCGATCATTTGCTTAATAACATGTATTTGATCCTGGGTTGACTTCCCTGTCATAAACCCTCCCTGGTAATCTCCAATAATTTCTCGTAAATAGGGTTTGATTCTAGTAAGTAGAATATTAGACAGTATCTTATATGAAGTGTTCAAAAGGGAGATTCCCCTATAATTTTTGCAATACATGGGGTCTCCCTTTTTAAGAATAGGACATAAAACAGATGTACGCCACGATCTTGGTATTTCTTCATGTTCCCAAACTTTAAGTTTATACTACGCAAGTTGATACTAGTGGATTTAATTTTACAGTTCTCATGATGTCATTTGTAGATTTTAGAATAGTTAAATGTTTGGTCAGAGATGCTCATTAATTAATATATTGAGGTCATTATGGAATGTTCGACTACTAATAAACCACGACCATTACTTGCGCACGTTTTTTCCTCGGATCAACACGAAGTTCTTTAGTCAAGTCAGTCCAGTACATATCTGTGAAATCTTCATTCAACATTCATCGACTCCTGTTTTTTCAGCGGTCTTTTATCCAACAAAGTCTAGACTTAATTCGCAGAAAATTGAACCCTTCTTACAATAATTTATAAGTTCACTCGTCAGACAACTAGGACAAAGACTAAGTTAACAAGGCGTTTTTGCTATAAGTACTCACAATTAGGTGAATATACATTATGACACGCAAGGCATCAGGAAGACCATTAAATAATTGTTGACTTTTATCAGCAGAATCAGGTATATTAAAATAACTACATTCTACACACATTTTGGGCCTTAAAGTTAAGGTATTGAGCTTCATTAGTTATGTCATGTCTTGAAAAAAAGGGAAATATTTATTTATTAATTATTACACACGGAAATACGGAATTAAATTAATATACTAATATTATTACTATTATTATTATTATATTTGTTCTGTAACTTTTGGTGGGTATCGCACACAACCTAACCTTCATTTATTAGGGCGTAAATATGTAGAACGATTTCGACTTTACAGCCAAGATAACATCCTATACGGTGACCTTGACTGTTTTTTTTTATAAAATGCGTTCAACGTAAAATCGGACAACTGTTAAATTTTCTCGTTGCTAAAACTCGTATTGAAGCGATTAAAGTACCTAATGAAATGAAATAGTGATCAAACAAATGTATTGTGTTTACTATTTGTATACGAAAAAGAAACTACAAAGTAGTACAAACACTAATAGATTGCTCAAAATCGGATGTATTATTTTACTGTAAGTGTTAGAGAGTGGACATTTGATAATAATATTTTAACTTTTAAGGAGGTATTTATAGTAACTAAATTGTTTGCGATTGATGGAGAATAATAGACTTAACATTACTTAAAGTGAACAAAAAGCGTAGATATAATATTCATGCGATGATTTTTCTATTACCATTATCATAATATAGACGGTGTTAATCAACTTAAAATGTTTTTTTTAAAACCGTAAAGGTTTATTAATAACTAATAAGTAATAATAAAACCATATGGTTTATGAATATCTTAAAACTTGTTTACCGCATATGTTTATGAACACGATGAAAATATTTTAAGTTGTTGTTCTTAGTAGTTAAACAAAACTACAAAACTATGAGTTTTATTTCCCCGTAAGAAAACTTTGTTTATAATATTAATAATAATAGCGTGGCGAACAGCGTTACCCACACAACTTCCAGTAAACAATCCGAGACACTCAAATTTAAAAATAGTTTATTAAAATAAAAGTATATGATGTACTAAATTTCATTTAAGACCAACCTCTCTCGCTGTCTCTCTATATTGATATGCCTCTCGTTCCAGTGGGACTTCATCCAAATCTGCCAACAAAGGGGCTGTATATACAATTTGTTGTAATTCTAAACAAACATTTATCACCTGGGAGGGACGTCCGCTGTTATAATAAAATTAATATAAAAGAAATGGCAATCACAATGACCTGTCTACGTATATATATATAATATACACATTATTGTAATATGCATAAGCAGCTCGGAAATTGTACCAGTTCGTATAATATTTCGTCGTCCTGCTCGAGAACCCAGGATTTCGCATTAAAATTTTTCAATTACGTCGCAGATTTTTCCCACCCCTGATCACCCACGCAAACCGTATAATATAAGCGTATATATTATCACGAGCTATCATAATATAGCCCGTCACTCGATTACCACGACCATCGTTAAGACCGCCGGTGGTTATATTTTTTTGCTTCTCGTTCTTCGTTCTCTGTTAGTCTGTCGTTCTATATAGAAGCGCACTAGCCTCGCTGCCGGTGACGTATGTTATAGAAATACATCCTTCTTCGTTCGAATTCCGTTTATTTATGATTATCACTTAACCTACCACGAATCAATAGTTTTGAGTAAAAAAAAAAAAACCGTCCCTATTGTGAAACTGTGAATACAAGCCACGTTTTTTATGCACATAACTGTACAATGTGAGTGAATTCTATCGTAATATTGTTTTATCGTTTATATATGTATTTTCATTACCGGGAGCGCGCGGAGTTTGAATCGCCCTACAAAATACATCCGGGCCTAGCAAACGATCGGCCGAATAGGGCTGAAACACTGGAACAAAAAACTAAATGATCTTCCTCGTCCTACCCCACATTGCCCTACCACGCAGGGTAAATACGCCACCGGTACGATGTTATTTCAACAACACGATCTATGTATATTTCGTCACGGTATCAATTCGTGGGCCTAAGGCCGAGCAAATATTCACGCGAACCCGCGTATTATATACGTTACGATATCATAATATTATGTACTGTACGCGTTTACGGTCGGATATTTGAACCACCCCTTGAGCGGCAGGGTTGTGTCGGGCGCATGTCTAAGCGCGCGGCGTACAGCCCCGAGACCATGTGCTCGCGTTCGCCGAGTTCTCGACAGCCACCCGCTGCAGTCGTAACGTACCCGCCGGTCGCGCGTGAGTGTGGTCCAACCGTGACCAGAGTGTCGGTCGTCGTCGTCGTCGTCGTCGTCGTCTTCGTCTTCGTGATCTATGTAGTAATATTATTATTATTACTATCACTTTCGCTCCTCTCGACGTTGTTTTCGTTGTTTTTATTTATTTCTGTCGTCGTCCACGTTCGCCCGTCGCAGAAAAACCCCCGTGTATCCGATGGAGGAATTATTCGACGAGGTTTGACATTTTTTGTTTGACGATAAAAACCTAAGTGTATAATATTATGAGGGTACCTACCTTGGCCGTAATACCGCAGTGCATCAAAACGTGCGTCGTCAAACCGCTAAACGTACCAACTGCAGCACCAGACTGCAGCGTGAGCACGATTTTTTTTAATGTAAAAAAAATCACGCTTCCTAGATTGATTTAATAAAAAACGCGTGTGGAATCAAAAACCTACACTGCGGCTTCCTGATTTCGAAACTTGTGAGTACACGGAAAACAATCGCTACCTTCATGACGTTTTTCAAGTCTCTAATAATATAATTTTTTTTCATTAACTAATAAAATAACTTACCGTCGTTTGTCACACGCGAGTCTTACAAAATATAAATAAAAGAATAAATTTATAGAGCTAAACAGTTTTTACCTTTTCCATCTTATAATATTATAACTTGAGATTTTTCGTGGGGTGGAGGGTCTCGGAAAATATTCTATTATCTTTGAGGCGTAAATCAGAAAAGTCAGGGAACCATCACGGCCTTAGTATCTAGCAGACTTACGGACACTTTTTTCTTGTGCAATCGTATATGTATTGAGAGATTTCAATTCACGTCTCACAGTCTCAGATATTATGAATACTATTTTTCCATAGATTTCCACGGTTTACGGTTAAACAATATTTTGTAAGATTCGCGATACCTTGATTTTTTTTTTTATACGTTTTATTTCATAATTAGCGTCAATTATTAAATTTCGATTTTGAGCTTCTACTTAGAGGGTATGAACACTCTGTGTATAGTCATATAGACTACTCTTGAGAGTTGAGACGACTCGTTCGATCTTTTAATTCGAAATTAAATTGGTACCTTGCAAAAACGTGTTGGGTCCAAGATCTTTGTTTCTATTATCATACTAATAGAGGGTGTATTACATACCTATTATCAGTACGTTAAACCATTCGCTTTATGCATAATATTATGTGGTTATGATTTATGTTTCAATTGATTCACGTAAATTAAAAAAAGTAATCATGGCTAAAGTGGGATGCTTTGTCTACTGGGAAAAAAATATAGTATAAACCGTGACATATTATAATGATTATACACAAAACACGTAGTTGGATGTATTGTTATAATTATTATTACTCCGAGGGGGTCTTGTATCATTTATCATTGTATCGAGGGAGAAAAGCATGTCTATACATACAAGTGACGTACGTGATTTGAACCCGAAACTTTGTATTTGGTTTGAAAATATTAAATCCGATTGCCCTCATTATTATTACGAGTGTTGTCATTACTGTTATTAAAATTGTTTAAAAACATAATGCATTGTTCTATCGTTATTGAAAATTGAATGAATTTGGTGGAAGAAACTTGTCTGTACAGTTTTTGATAGTTGATAATAATTCATGTTTGAGTAGTAAAATAAATAGAACCATACATATAGTAGTATTCAGGGCATATCAAATAAAACATTTTTTTTTAAGTAGGTACATACGCCCGCATTTAAGTGACCTATTTTTAAAATGCATATGATGCGCATCATAAATTTAAAATGTATGTACGTATCCTTACGGAATATTGTGACGAAAATAAATACGCAAAAAATTAAACATCTTTTATTCTTGTTGTATAAATATTAAAAAATAAATCTAGCATCGGCTTAAATTTTAATAAATATCACTTCATTGTGCATAACATATTATGTAAAGAAAAAAACATGTGAATAATCATTGTGTAAGCTGTAATAAAAAACGAATCGTGTATCTTAGAAAATAATAAAAAATAATAAAATTCCACGAATCGATGTTCTTGATTTTATGGAACTTACCTAGTGCCTACGTCTTAGTTGATAAAAAGTTATCTAAAATCTTGTTTTTGCAGACATCACGTGAGATACTTGTTGTGCGCATAATATATGTGAGACACTATAATGATGTATAAATAATTATACTAGTCAAAAACAATTTGGTTTTTCAATAAAATGTCTGATGATAATTACTTTACGTTTGTGATTTTATTTAATGTGGTTCGTCATGATACCCATTAAATAACTGTTAGTGAATATTTTATTTTGGATTTATTAATCCTCAAGTACTAATTTTATTATAGTGATATCGGAGAAAAAATTACATCAAACCGTCGTTAAACCAAATTAGATTTTTGTTGAACATTTATTTTTAATTCTTGTAGTTACGTGGTTAATTACGACTAAAACTTATTATTAACTTAACTGTTACTACAATGATAGTGCAGTCAAATAAAATCAATCTGTTATAATCGTTGTGAGCATGATATTTTCTTAATCAGATATCTCCGCGGTAGTTAAGGACAATATTTAAGTACACATAATAAAAAGTGAATCACAATACTTTGGAATAGAAAAAGAAAATTATGTTTAGAGCAAAATGAAACATCGGTTAATATATTAAAATTACGCTGGAAGCGTTTTCGCTTAATACAGAATGAAAATGTCTTTATAGAAAGTTAGTGTTTAGGGTTAGTTTAAATATTTTATCCTCTTGTTGTAGTTGTTTAAAATACAACTAATTGTGAAGCTTATTAAATAACTTCAACATTAACAATTTTAATTTTAATCATCGTATTTGCCATTTGGTAGTACCTAACTATAACATCATTGGCCGAAGCTACGAATAGTGTTTATTGTTATATTGTTTTAATATAAATTAAATTTGTCAACTTATACATAAGATAACAATTTAATTCGTGTGTATAATTATATTATTAAACTTTTGCCTGATTAAAAGTAATAAATTAAAATAACTGTTAATTCTTACAAACTTAAGAGTCCATCAAATTTTATGTTAAACGATCATAAACATACACAAACAACAGTGGAATATTTCCAAAATAGTGTAAGTTTTTGGTTAGTTGTTAATCAATTATCATTTAATTACACTCATATACGACGTATGCGTATTAATAAACAAAATATTATGTTCCAACAGGATTTGTTTAAAATGTGTGTTAGTCCCGAATTCTATTGTATTTTTGATACACTCTCGTTGCATTTTCACAAAAAAAAAAACAAAACGTAATAAAGGCCGTGTGTGTAATTTTAGTCAATGTGAATGTTTCTATTGTATAACAACACAGAACAGAACGAGACAAAGGAAAATGGACACTACGACAAAAAAAAAAAAATAATAATAATACCATAAACATAATGTGAATCCCGAAAAAAAAATACGCTAATTGATCAAGAATTCTTTCAGTGTTATAATACGTACCTTTGTAATGAGTTGATTGAATAGAGGTGCTAGTGTTTTTCGTAACATCAACTGCTGATTAATGTTTTAAATAGATGGTGACAATTCAATATATTCACAAAAACCCGTGGATTTCGATGTTAAAACAAAATCAACTTAATTCGACTCTAAAGACTCTACAGACTCTGGTCTGGTTTTAAAAGCTATCGACAAAAACTGTCGGTTCGATAATAATTGATCATATTATATTAGCACATTATGTCCCGTGCTCTTCGTGCCCTGGACTCATGCCTGTTTGCATGCGCCTACTCTACATTCTATCCAGGTGTTGTGGATTATTATAATGTAATAATTATTATTGCAGTTCTTCGCAGGTACTCACGTACTACCCACCCGTAGATTCAGTTTTAAAACCGTTCAAATAATATTCCAGTTAATAAGTAAACACCTCTTTATAGTTTAATATATTGTGCAAACATTATTTTATTGGATTTCCATGTATTATACACGGGTTGTGTCTCTATTTTATATGATAATAATAATAATAATAATAATAATAATAATAATAATAATAATAATAATAATAAGGAATATCGGTATGTTACGGTCATGGGCTTCGTACATCGACCACAAACATATAATTTAAAAACGTAAAACGAAAATAATTGGAAATTTAATAATTGTAAATGTTTATTACGGTAAGTTAAAGAGTTGAGCTCATTTAATAATATCATTATTACAGTAAAGGTAAAAAAGTAAAACCAATAATTCATCAGTTTCCCACTCAATTCGAAATTAAAAGTTATTAATCATTTTAACACTTTGAGACATCTATATAGATGTATTGTTGTAAAACTATGTGTTATTATAATATAAAACGACAATATCGAAAACCATTAATGTAAATTAAATTTTGAATAACATAAAATGATTTTTATTTTAAGTTGGTAGTTTTTTTTTAATCTATAATATTGTAACCTTCGTAATGGGGAATGACAATGAGAGTGAAACGGTTTTAAGACCACATAGGTTTAACGTTAAAAGCTTTTTAGTCAAATATTTTTAGTTACCTAACTATGAAATTTCTTGTCTTAAAATATTACAGCTTTTACCAAAAATTAACAGTTAGTTATTAGGTATTTTTTTTATTTCAGTAGCTTATATTATACCCATCATTAATTTTTTTATAGGATTTTCAAAAAACGAATAAACTAAATAATAAAAGTTACGTCTTGTTACAGCCAATTATTACCTGTATACCAACTGTTCGTAATGGTGACCTACCCAGCAGAAATTTTTTTAAAATCTAATTTGTCAGTATTTTATTAATACGAATGAGGTTTGAGTGTTTTGACGACTGACGAGTGATTGATAATACTCATCAGTCATTACATAATTATTGTACACTGAACAAAAATATTCAAGTAAATTCAATAATTACTGCAGAATGAATCATAACAATTGTGTACTTCAACGGTTTATTAAATTTCGGGTCACGAACACGACTGCGGCGATTTAATAATATACTAATATTATCCTAATGAATACGGTCATCAGTTAAAACAATGTACTTTCAAAGTTTCAACACATAGAATTGTAACAATATAATGTTACTCGGTTTATACAAACTGAAATATTTATTTTAAAATCTTTAAATGATATTATGATTATTGTGATGAAACGAAATCACTAGAAATCCTTTTATTATTATCTCACAAGGTACCGAAAAACCACAGCGGTATATACGCCATGATCAGCCCGATGGTTCGAAAACTTATTTTTGCACCTACGTACAATGTACATAGTAACATATTGTGTAGGTACCAGGTACTAGGTATCTATACCTATGATTTGACGAGGTACCGGACTATGGCCAATCACTGGTACCTATATTAAAACTTTTTCACGCGGCCGACCGTTTCATTACGAAAATTAGCTTTTTATTAGCTTGTAGTGTTTCGTCCCTCGTAAAATAAGTAATATTATGTCAGTAGTATAATAATATGTACCTATTACCTACAGCCTTTTATCTGTCGATTCGAATATACTTTTTTTAAATCATAAAAATGTTGTTACGTATTGCGTTGTTTTTACATTTATTGATTCACATTTGAAATATATTTATAATATGCATTGTTATTAAATATTCAAAACAATTTCGAAACATATTTGAACAATAATTGTGAGACCATGTTCGTATTTAAAATACAGTAAGATAAAATCCTCAACTATTAAAATTAAAAAAAAAATTTACCCAAGTGAACTAACACTGCACAGTATAAAATAAATAATGAGTATCGTTCGTATAATTTTTGAAGCTTATATTCGAAATGAATTTGTCATCGAGGCTCACAGACACTTTTTCTTAAAGTTGTCTGTGTGACTGGTTTGTAGCTACTCGTTTTTAATCTCATACAGTTAGAATAATGATGTGTCGCTTTCTTATTTTCCGTTATATCCGAAATGAAATGCGGGAGAACTAAAAAATTTATTTTTTACAAATTTTTATTCTGTATGTATAAATTAACTTTGCTTACTATCCATAGCGCAATGTTCACAGGAGGGATAAAATGAAACTGTCAAAATATTTTGAAAATGACAACATGCATAGAAAATGTCAGTATAAACATTTGGTGAAAATTTCAAGTACATACGAATATTTATTTTTGAAACACAACAAAATAAGAAAATCGTTTAAGTTAAAAACTAGTTTTGTGTGAAAATTCTCTTTTTCTCTACTTTTTTTTTACAAATCCAATAAAATATTGTTTTTTTACTCAACTTACCATATTATTTTTAAGGATTACAAATACCTAATGCAAAGCCATTATATATTAATAATATTGTCTTTTTTTTCTAGGATATTCACAAATTATTCAAAGGATAATCAATTTTGAAGGATCATATTAAACCTGAAACAAAACATGTGGTTTTTTCTGTTAATCATTTCATCGTTTTACATTTGGACTTGTAAGTGATTTTATTTGTATACGAATACCATGTTAAACAGTTAAATGACATATTTTGTAACACGCCGCATATTCAACAAATATACACGTTTAGAATATCCGATGTAGTATTATATTAAATTCATCTTCGTAAAATGTTTTTGCAAAAGCAATATTTTGATATTTGATACAAGAAATATGACGAGAATCACAGAATGTAATAATTAAAATAATTATGGAACATTATAAAGAATATTCAAGTTTTTAATTTAATATTCATACGATTTATTCAGACAACGCATTAGACATTTTGAAAACTATACCTGCATTATCTTACATACTACGGAGAAGCAATTTTTGTTTCCAAATAATAATTAATAAGAAAACTTTTCTTTTCATTTTAGTGTCGTAATATAATTTATATTGTCTACATTATTCTTTACATTTAATAAATATAACAAATTTTGAGTTAAGTTGAAAATGAAAAGCGGAAGTTAAGTAGACTCAGAGGTAAAAACAACAACTGTAAGTTTGTTTTGAAGTTTTTTGAATATTACAAATGTAGAAGAAAATACATTCCATAAAAAATAATGATAAATAAAATAAATTAGTTTTAGTTCAAAAAAATGTGTTAATTTTGTACACTCTTTTCGGGAAAATGTATTGTTGCAGAGAAGATGTGTTTTTTAATATTATTGCAGAATAATAATAATAATAATAATAATATAATATGTAAATTGCAAAACGCAAATGAATATAAAAAGAAAACAATTTTTTCTATAAATTATCGGGTCTTATTTACAAAATATTAATATTGCTCTGGATTGCTTAATTTAGGATCGTTATAAGAATATAGGGGTTGCGTATTATTATAGGAATTGGTTACCCAGGCACGCCCGGAGGGGGGGGGGCCAAGTGGTGCAAATGCACCACCTGAGAATTTTANAAAATAATAATTACACAAAGTACACGATATAGTTATTGTCCATTTCATGAAATGGATGTCCGTTTCATGAAATGGATGTCCATATAATGTATTTTCGTCAAAATTCAATATCTGGACGAATTTCACTATCTGGATATCCAGTTCATGAAATGAGTAGTTTCACTATGTGGATGCGACATATATACGAATAATACTTTAGTAGTAGGCACCAGTTGGCAGTTGCTATAGATATTATGGATGTCCTGACTATCTTGGTCTGTGGTTAATACTGATGTACTGAGAAGTATAGACTGGTGTGATTAGGTTCATGTCATAAAAAGCTTAAAATTATTTTTTATATTTTTATAAATGTTTTTAGTTATTTAGATTCCGAGACAACTAGTTCTCCTACGGTCAACTAGTTAGTCGTGATTACTTAGATCCCCTGTTAACTAGATTACTGTTCATGTCATTTAGGTCTTGAGGATCTAGTTATCTGGGGATCTAGGTGATTACGACCGCTCACCAAAACTTATAAAAATGATAATTCCTTATCAGCGATAATAAAATCAAAATAGAGCTATACCAATAAATTGGAACTAAGGCAATAAAATGTTGTTTGAACAAGGTAACGATGTTATCATACAAATTTGATAACTTTTGGGCAGGTATTATCAGTTTGATAATTTTCTCATTTTGTTCTCCCAAATTATAAAGTACACACTCCAGATTTATTGATGTTACTAATTCGACATTTCAACTAGTTTTCATATAGTTGATTGTTTTCCCCTGTTTACGGCCTTTCCATTCCAAGCGTTTGACGTCGATTGTAATGGAACACCAGATACTTAAAGATGTATTTAACACTGTTGCTTATTAAACTATAACACTTCGAGTTTTTTTATGAAGTTGTTGTTGAATACATTCAATGATATATTATAATACATTAATACCTATAAGAACACTTTAACATTTGTGAAATTATTTATTCTCCCTTTTTCAGTCAAATAATAAAGAATTTCTGTCAAATTTTAAAGTTGGTGAAAGTTTCAGAAATTATTTTTAGAGATTATTAAATTCATATTATATTTAATTTTTTTTTTTTTTTTTTAATGCACTTAAAACTCATACGTAAACTATTTACAAGTTTGTATTTATTTTAATGAGTACCTAATACCATAGATTATACTAAATACTACATTTTTGTGATCGATGCTTATACCTATGTTTGAATACAACTAGTAATACCAATGGCTTCTGTTAAAATTAAAACACTTAAATATTGAAATATAAATGGCGGACAAAAATATCAAAACAATTAAAGAGCTATTTATATATCTTATGGTGTTTTGTTTTTGTAAGCAATTTTATGAAAAGCTCATATTTAAGTATTATAGAATATGTTAAATTGTATGGTATTTATTTAAGTTGTAAATGTTAAATACGTTTTTAATCTTACTTATTAATAATCTGATGACTTCAAATACTGAAAAACCTATCATAAATATTTCTTTAAAGTTTTGCGTTATATATTTAAAACACATTGTTGTGGAATAAGAATCATAATGAAAATAAAAATAGCCATTTTTACTTATATGTTCATTTATTTCACAGAAAATGAAAAGGGTTTAGTTAGCTTACATACTGATTGGGTGATGCAGTATAAATAAAATACACACAAGTGGTTTATTTTTTGAAATTTTTTATTATAATAATTGTAATCAGGAAGTCATGATTATTTAGGGGTATTACCTACAACCTTTCAACCCATCTGATAGAAGTATCTAGGTTCTGACAAATGGTTTGTAATATTGGTACTGCCATCTGATGTCGAGCGCTCGGCTCTTATTTTCTTCGATAGCAATCTGGATCTATGCAATTGCAGTACCATGGCTCCACTAGGAATCGTCGTTTGCAGGTTTGATTGCAGTAAATCTGCCAACCCGTGACATGAGTCATCCCCGCTAATTGCCATACGGAACATTGTGGCATTGCCTTTGACCTTATCATGAATCTTCGATATGCATAAAAGAGAGAAACAGAAAATAATTAATCAACCAAATCATATAATGTGAAGAAACTTAAATTTATGGGGAGCTCGTATCCGATTGGTCGAAGTGGAAAATGCTGCTATAAATTACATTAAATTGTCGTTCAAACGTTTCAAGAAGACAAACAGTTAATAATTGTTTAAGTACATTATGCCAGGCACGCCCGGAGGGGCGGGCCAGGTGGTGCAAATGCACCACCTGAGAACTTTAATAATTTGGATTTTTCAAATAAATAATAAAATATAAAAATTCCTTCTCTGTAAATTTTTAATTTATGCCCATGATTATTCCCAATATAGTAAATTTAATATTTAATATACTTATTAGCTATTCTGGCATCTGGCTATTCTGAGATACCACCGTCTGCCGCATTTTAGTACTGTGTACAGTCACGTCTAACCACGCGTCTAGGTCACATTTATTTTGGTCATTAATAATATTATTATGAATTTCGTTATCTGACATCTATTCTGTGGTACACTATTATTTATATATATATATATATATATGTATGTGTGTGTTATACATCTAAAATTTTATCTAATTTTTATATTTTATAAGAAGTAATAAATAAAATGAGTTATGTTTTAAATATATTTTGTTATACCCATTATTGATGATAAATAATATATGTCATGTAATAAGTGTTAGGGAGTGTGGGGGGCAAAGCCCCCCACATCATATATTGATATTAAAAATATTTTGCACCTAGTGAGCTACATCTCTGTGGGCGTGCCTGTGGTTACCCGACCCGTATACGATTGATTTGTGGCGTTAAAGATGAGTTGAGTTTAAAAACGACCGAAAATGGTTTCGACAGCATCAATCACTATAAGGATAAGGAGACCCCCATGCAGAAGGTCATTATTACTGCCGAAAAAAAAAAATACTTGTCTTCAAACTGAGATAAATGTTTTGAAATGTTTTAGTGTGCAACCGCAACTATACAGTATCCATTTTTTGACACTGTATAATATTATAATAAATATAGCAATCGGTATTATTTTGTTCAGTACTATTTATATTTTGTTGTGCTGTAAGTATATATAAAAAAACTATGAGTTATTTAAAAAATTGTAATGTATGTTTATCATAGCAGTATATTAATAAACAAATCGTGGTAATAATTCAACAGTTTGTTATACGTTCCGAGTAGAAAAATATTCTGAAATGCAGGAAACACCGTTTTGAAAAGTGATGACAAATTTTGAGAGTGAATTTATAAATTAATTCGAATTAATAAAAAAAAGTTAGAGATGTATAATATTTAAATGGATACCCCTCACTTATTTAAAAAAGCCTCACTGGTCGCTGCAGGGTCTTTCGTTGAACGTTTATTTACATTTTATGTAACATCCCGACACGAAAGGTCGAACAGCTTATATCACACTAAATCACACGAATGTTCATCGAACGAACAAAAATGGTATAGTTTCATCGAAAACATTATTGTGTTGCGAATGCACTAAAGTAAAAATTACCAGACAAATAAATTGGACCCTATATTTTGTACTTGTTATGACTTATGACTAATATAGTATAATATCTGTATTTATCCAACAAAAATGTTTTTGAAGTTATTGCTTTATATGGAACTTCCAATAATATGTTATTGGAAAACGTGAAGGATTTATACAAAATACATTTTTTACACACTTAACAATATATTACGTTATGAGCTAAAATAATAATTTATCGTACACGAGTACTACAAAATGTGCACATTTTCATTTTTTGTAAACATTAGAACCATCAAAACGAAATACTTATGTATGCAGGATAAAATATAATAATGGTGGCCATAGGCCATTTGAAGGAATAGAAAAAGTAATTAATAAAGTGATAAACGTATTAGTGGCTTCAACGGTTCTTAAGAGAATTTCTGACTAAGGAAAAAATGTCTTTTACAATCTTTTTGTTGTGACTGTATAAAAAGTGTATTTTCACGATTGTTTTGTGTTTTAAAAAGTTGCATTCGTCTTGGATGTGCATTCAAAAGACAATACATTCTTAGCTCTATAGTATCATTCCAATATTGTTAAAACT